GCCCAGTTCTCTCCATCAAATGCTGATAGTTCCAGAGAGGAGAGATGGCAAATGCCATTGAGACTATTGTTCTATTTAGTTTATGTGGACGTTTATTTTAAAAAGCCACCATCTGTTTGATTCAGGGTGAACTCCTCCTAATGGGCACACTGCATACTGTGTGGCAATCTTGTTCCTAAAAGAAGTTATCTGAGGAGGAGAATGAAAGCCCTGGCCGAAATCGTTTTGGAAACTTCTATCAGCTGACCACGGTTTGACTTTGGAATCTTTAGTTGGCTTGGAACTGTAAATATAACATGTGGCAAGCTTCCCATTTACAACACTCTAGGCACAGGAATAGGCCCTTCTATTGCCCACGAGGGACAGAGAAAGCAGATGGCAGGTGAGTTGGCCCTCATTACTCAGAAGAGCAGTGGCCACAGGACGAGGCTCCACTTGACAGATTTGATTTAGCCCGCTGAGGAAGTTACCAGAAAACCCAGGAGGGATAAAGAGGCTAGGCTGAAACGTTACTGAGGGTGCTTTCCAAAAGCATTCCTACTGTGTTTGCATTTTTTTTTGATCATGTAAGACAATGGTATTTTCAGTCCTCCATGAGCCTTCATCACACAGTTCCAACTGTTTGATCATTTAGCCAAGGGTACCCCAAACAAGAACTCCTTTGATATTGATTCTAAGCTGCTCGAAAAGATGCTAAAAAGGCAAATTGATTCCAACAATGCCCCTGGTCCTCAACTTAATAAGAAATGTTGTACTTCTTGAACATTACTGAACAAACTTGATATGGAACTGCCCACATTTCTACATTTAGTTAAATATATAAAACTGAATCCCAGTTGACATTATTTTAAGGAAGTTAAGTACCACTCATTAGCTGGGGAGGGGACAGGAGAGAATAACTACTGCAAAGTAATTCCATTGGCTCTTTTCTTTATTTGTCATCAGGTTCAATGTTTGGCTATTTATAGTCAATATAAAAAAGCAAGTGCTCCCTCTCTAAAGGATTTATAGAAGGTCTAAACTAAACAATATGTCTTTTGTGCATAAAAAAGTCATTCTGATATCTAGAAAGTGAGTGACATTTGGATGAAATGAGCAGTTTGGCAATGTTTTACTTAACAATTGTAATCTAAATTTTATTAGAAATAAAATGGGGCTATAGGATGGCCCATAAAAAATGGCCTGTGTTGATAAAGAAATTTCCTTTTCTTTGTCAGCACCCACTACTATACCTCATATCTCAGGGTAACAGGTAACAGTAATTCTTTCTCAGATTTTTGCTCTCTTAAATGAACTATGTCTTCTAGGGCCATGCACACAAGCTGCTTCATTCCTTAATGGGTCTTGGTTCATTTGCCAATAAAGTTTTGCAAAGGGATATACTGTAAGGCTTTAGGAAGGGAATCAAATCTAATAAACACCCAAGAACAGAGTTCCCCAATTCATACTGGGGGTTTTGGAATGAGTTCCAGGCAGGGCTTCATTGGTGTGTGAACTGAGCAGTTGCACAGGGCCCTATACTTATAACGGGCCCTGCTTGGTTTAATGCTCTGCTGCTGCCATCTTGAAATTCTTAATAACTTAATCTTTGGTCTTGAGTTTTGCACTTGAAGTCTGATGAGACAAGGAGCATGCACATGGGCAGAGGAGACATGTACAGTATGTGGTCTGCTGGTTCCTTGCCACCTGCCCCATTCGCACACAGTCTTAGTAGTGTCCCATGAACACAGAATACTGGTGGACCCACAACGCCTGGGAGTTCAGAGAGACTCAAAGAGAGCATGTGGGAAGTGTGTTACCTCTCCAGTTGAGTCAGCAGGGTAGCTGACTACCCTGAGAGGACACACTCCATCTGAACTAGAACTTACTTTCAACACAGAGAGAAAGCAATGGTGTTCTAAGAAACATGAATAACCAAGGAATCCTATATATCCCTAGTTGTGTTACTTCCCTGTATGAGCCAACAATTTACTCTCCAAATGATGACATAGAAGGGAAGGGAAAAACAGGATGACCCACAGGTCCTTTTCTTGTCAGTCCTTCCTTACCCATCAGTAAACTAAAGGTAGAGTGTTGGTACCATATGTGAAGAGTGAAATAAAAATATCTAAGTTAGTTTTGTTCAGTATTTCCACTGTTCTGGTAAGAACAAAATATATCCACATACGAGTTATATGAACTGTGTAACTTTGGTGATTCCACATATGAGTTAAATGCTTTTATATTTGCCATACTGAACATTTTATATAATGCCATACTAAACTGGCATTGCACAATATAAAGAAGAATGGTAAAATTCATGCTAGTAAGTTTAATTTTTAATATTTCTTTACTTAAAATGACATTAAATAGCAAATAAAAAACACCATGACAAGTTGAGAGAAAAGTTGCAGAAGAATGGAAAAAGCTTTATATTTTAGCATCTTTAAAGGCACTTTTTCCTGCTTTTTGAACAAGGGTCTTTGCATTTCCATTTTGCACTAGGGCCCACAGGTTAAACCACAGGCCCTGGTTTCAGGTGTATCCAAAGTATTACTGATCTTCTCAGCCCTTGGAGGGGCTTGGGGTGGTGGCCCCTAGACTCCCTCGCAAGCTGTTGCCCTGGCAACAGGCAGCCTTGATGCTGTACTAGAACTTTCAAGGTGGGCCATGAGGTGAAAGAATTAGGGAAGCTTGGCTTTCTCGGGTATCACCCAGCAAACCATCTCTGCTGGAAGCTCACTCCTGCCTCTGTCACAGGCACGCTGATGAACTTGACCATGCATAAAATCCTAAAAAACCCAATTTCAACACTTGAGAACACTCTGAGTCCTTGTACTTGCTATGGTGCCCTCTGCCTGGAATGCTGCCCCTGCTCCCTGGGCACAGCTTCTCTCTCATCCCTCCAGTCTCAGCCTACATGCTCTCTCTACAAAGAGGCCTTTCCCTGACCCTTGCTCTATTTAGTTGTTTTACAGAACTTGGTTAGTTGTTTGCCTTCTCTATGAAGCATGCGGCAAGAACCTCATCTGTCTTGCTCCCTGTGTATTCCAAACCCCTAGCACTGGGCTCGGCAGATCGTGACTGCACAATCTGATTGTGATCGCAAAGTTTTCCCCATTGATTACATCTCTATAAAAAATTATATATAATATTTTGTTTTTTGTTTTAAACAATTTATTTGAATAGCACCAATTAAATCTTCTCAAGGTATAAGATAAAAGAAAAATACTTAAAATTTCTATAATGATCAACATAATGGGTTTTGTTACTTTCTCTTTCCTAGTTTCTATACTAAGTTGTCCTCCGAGATGTCAACTTGGCTATTTTATGAGTTATTTTAGAATACAGCATTTACTAACCACTTAGCATCAGTAGCCCTAGCTGGCATCCACATTCGTCCAATGTGATTACTTAAAAGTTTTTAAAGTTATACTGAACCCTATCCTTTGAACTTTTAAAAACACTGTTTTTCCTAAACCTGATTATTCTGATGCCATATTAATTCTTATTTGAGAAAGCAGTGTTCAACAAAATAATAAAGCATCTGTTTTGTAATGAGTTCAATAAGCGGAGAAGGTGACGTGACAAAAATCACAATGGACTTATATAAAATGGAATTTTCTTGTTTGCAAATGATTTTTCTTGCCTTGGTCCAACATACTTGACTGATGAGTGTCCAGCTATTTCTGGTTGACATGCAAATTGACAAGCCAATTGCTGAATGGGTCTTTCTCATCTCTGCCAAGAACCTCTTTTTAATAGCATGGGAAATAAAAACTCCATGCTGAAGGCTGAATCGACACCAGCCATAAGATTAAGTCTAGAGTGCTGTGGAAATCACTGCAAAGAATGCCATCTCCAAAACATGTACCACCAGCCTGGACAAAGCATGAGGGAGCACGCTGAAGGGAATAATGCAGCCCCGGCCCCCGGGGAGGGACCAGATGGGACCTAATAGCTCTTTTCTACTACTAATTTCTATGATAATTTCAAGTTGCCACATGGCATATGTATTTTTTTTTTTAATCTAAAGACAGAATATCAGTCAATGAAGTGACCAGGATTTTAATGAAAGGTATTTTTCATGAATTGTATCTATTACACATGATATTTCTCACCCACCCTCCAGCAATACATCACTTATGGTTAGGTTGGGAGAAGTATAGAGAGAGAGGTCAAACACAATGTGTTTATAATCATTATCAATACCAATTAGAAACAAAAAGACTCTAAGTTTTATTAGGTGGTCAGACGCCTTTTGCAACAATTTTATGAAGTCACCTTAATTCCTTTTTCTTATAATCAGAGATCATGCCTGGATTTAAAGATTACAGCATGCCAACTAATGTTCGAGAAAAAATTACAAAGTGAAATTTCTTCTGTTTTTAGAGAGAAGATCAGAAATCAGAGAAGGAGATATTAACAATTTGGGAACATTACAAAAGAATTTCTGGCCATTTTTTACTGAGGAGTTCAAATGCACTTTTTCCAGTGCTCCCAACCAGATGCAATTTTTCCCTCCCCTCACCTCCTAGAATACTATTTTTACTTCTCTGGTGGCCCTTGCCACATTCTTTGATTTATTAGAGTCATTTCATTTGCTGTTGGTTTCTGGTAGGCACTCTGAGTGACCCCGTCACATCTTCCTCATCATCCCACCTTATATACACAACAGAGTGTGACAAATAGGGATGGATGAAGGAGCAGACTGAACTTGGGGAAAAATACTCAAGCAGATATGAGCATCTTTTGATAGTCACAGCTTCTTAGCACAAACGTATATGACTAGATTATGAAAATAAACTCTTCCTAAGTTTGATGCAGCACAAAATTATTAATATAATATAAATTTCATACAAATGGCATGAAAATCACACTATGTTATTTTCAATACAGATTGAAAAAATTCTCTCTTTCCTCTTCAACCCAGTTGTTAATACTTACCTCTCATGGAAAACTGCCAGGACTCTGGATTCTGGGATGGTTAATAAGTTAACACATTTAAAGCAAAAAGATACAAGCTCTGGTAGAGTGGGATGAGGCACTTCACCGCCCTGCTGGCGTTGATGCACGTGGCACATATAAGGCTTGGCAGCAGCTTCCCACTCACTATGGCGCCATCAAATAGAGGCCCAAAAAACGGAACCTGTTGATTCAAAACAGAAAAACACTTAATCTTCAAAAGGCATAAAAAAGTCAAAAGGCATGAGAACAGCTGATTGATGTCTCAGGTCTGTCATGACTGCGCAGGCCGTCACCCACAGAATAAATGCTGAACTTAACAGGACACAGGTCGAAGGCTTTCAAACCAAGCAAAAGGGGATTGTTCGACAATGCTCCTCTACTGCATTCTTCAGCAAAACTTGTAATGACAAATTATCACCAGATTATTCTTTTTGTTCTTGTGTTGTCATTTACAGAAATGGCATTATTCCTCGAAGTGCCTACATTGCATGGATTAGGTACAATACACAGCTGTGCCTCACCTGCACACCGCTAGCCTTTTATCCTTTTGGAACCAGTTTTGGAATGGGCAATACTTCTGCATGGATCTCGATGCATATGAAGTCTTAAAGAGATAATGACTATCCTTGCTAACAACTATACGGTCCTACTTACAGTCCTCATTCTTGAACCTTCTTTCCCTCTGCTCCTAAGATATTGAATTATCCTCCCTTCTACCTCTTTAATAGAGACTTGACTTTCCTTCACTGGACCCACGTCTACCAAGTGGGCAACCCACAAGGTTTTGGTGCATGCCTTTTTTGGATTATTTTTCTCCCTCTCACTTCTTTTTTCAATTAGAATTTCCTCGACTCCATTCACTAATGTGGAGATTGTCAGGTCCATGAGCTCAAGGACTGGGTCTGCCTTGTAACTCTCGTATTTATTCACTCTCTCACTTGCTCATTTATTTATTCCAAAAAATATTTGTTATGTGACAGACACTGTTGTGTTCACTGAGGATACAGCAGTGAATAATATAAAAATTCCTGATTTCATTATCTTAGAATTTATTAGAGGTTTCAGAGAATAAACAGTTTAAATACATAAAATATATGATATGTTAGGTAGTAAAAGCCAGCCCCGGTGGTCTACTGGTTAAGACTCACTGCCCTGGCCCAGGTTCGTTTCCAGTCAGGAAGCCACACCGCCCATCTGTTGGTTGTCATGCTGTGGTGGCTGCACGTTGCTGTGATGCTGAAAGCTATGCCACTGGTATTTCAAATACCAGCAGGGTCACCCATGGTGAACAGGTTTCAGAGGAGCTTCCAGACTAAGACAGACTAGGAAGAAGGACCTGGCCACCCACTTCTGAAAAAAATTGACCATGAAAAACCCTATGAATAGCAGTGGAGCATTGTCTGATATGGTGCCAGAGGATGAAGGGATGGCGCAAAAAGACGGGCAGGGCTCCACTCTGCTGTACATGGGGTCACTAGGACGGCACTAACAACAACAAAGGTAGTGAAACTGCTAAGGTGAAAAATAAAGCAGGGAAAAGCAATAGGACTCTTTTTGAGGGGAGAAGTTCTCTAATTTCAGATCACATGGCCAGAGCGGGCTTCAAGGAGAAGATGACATTTCAGTAAAGACTTGACAGAAGTGAGGGAATGAATCTCAAGCTATGAGGACATCTGACGGAAGAGCATTCCGGGCAGAGGAACAGCAAATACAATGGCCCTGTGGTGCGAGTGGAATTACTATGTTTAAGTAATAGCAAGGAAGCCACAGTGGCTGGAGCTGAGTGAGCAAGACAAAGAACAGAAGGAGATAAAGTTGGACCAGTAGTAAGAGGGGCCTTGCAGGAAATTTTAAGGATTCTGGATTTCTGCTCTGAGTAAGATGAAAGCTTTCTGGAGGGTTTAGGGAAGTAGGGAATGTGATCTAAACTATATTTTAAAGGTATTATTCTGGCTTCTATCTTGGGAAAACTGCCAAGTGTAAGCATTATGGAGACCAGTTAGAGAACTACTGAATAATCCAGGCGAGGGACGATGACAGCTTGGATCAGAACGGTAGCAGAAGAAATGGGGACAGGTTGGTTTCTGGATATCGTCTGAAGGTAGAGCTGACAGGATTTGCTGAGGATTATTAATGTAGTGGGAGGAAAAAAAGAGGTGTCAAGATGATGCCATAGTTTGTTGGCAATTGGAAGGTTGGAGTCACCATTTCCTGAAATGTTGAAGACTGAGAGAGAGGGTCATTAGCTCAATTTTAGACATGCTAAGTTTGAGATGCCTATTAGATATCCAGTGGTAATGAATGGAGGCAGCAGTGGATATATCAGGCTGGAAGTCAAGGGACAGAGGCTCAGGTTGGCGATTTAAAAGAGTTAATCATTCATAAATGGTGTTTACAGCCATGAGGTTGGATGATTGAATGAGCAAGAAAAGAGGTTCAAGGACTATATGCTGTGGCCCTCCAATGTTTAGGGGTTGGAGACATGAGGAAGAATTAGCATAGAAGACTGAGAAGGAGTGACTGGAGATGGAGGAGAAAAACCTCCAATGAGCAGCAATGTACCTGTCACGTGGTTAGAATGCAAATACCTGTTGAATGAGTGAAATTAATATTTTAAATAATTTAAATTGGGCCGGCCCTGTGGCTTGGTAGTTAAGTGCGTGCGCTGCAATGCTGGTGGCCCGGGTTCGGATCCCGGGTGCGCATCGAGGCACCACTTCTCCGTCCATCCTGAGGCCGAGTCCCACATACAGCAACTAGAGGGATGTGCAGCTATGACATACAACTATCTGCTGGGGCTTTGGGGGAAAAAATAAAATAAATAAAATCTTTAAAAAAAATAAATAAATAAATAAATAATTTAAATTAATTAATGAATGTAGGTCTCCAGCCTAGGTCTTCTGACTTGTGTCAAAGACTATTTATTTGGAGAACACCTTTTCTGTGGTTGGCATTGGGGAAGGGGCTTGGGATACAATGGTAAATGAAAGAGTATCTTGCCCCACAGGAGCTGACGTAGGAAAACTATGGACTAACATCCCTCAAAAAGATTCAAAAGTCCTTCACAAATTTTTAGCAAATTAAATCCAGAAATATTTAAAAAGGACAGTGTATCTTGACCAAGAGGTATTTTCCATAAAAAACTAAGGTTGGTTTAACATTCATAAATCCATCAATGCAATTTACTACATTAACAGAATAAAGAATAAAAATCATATGACCTTCTTAATAGATACCAAAAAAGCACAGATAAAATTCAACTCTAGGGCCGGCCCCATGGCTTAGCAGTTGGGTGCTCGCGCTCCGCTGCTGGCGGCCCGGGTTCGGATCCCGGGCGCGCACCGACGCACCGCTTCTCCGGCCATGCTGAGACCGTGTCCCACATACAGCAACTAGAAGGATGTGCAGCTATGACATACAACTATCTTCTGGGGCTTTGGGGGAAAAAATAAATAAATAAAATAAAAATAAAATAAAATAAAATTCAACTCTAGGGGCCGGCCCAGTGGCACAAGCAGTTAAGTGCGAGCATTCTGCTGCGGCAGCCCGGGGTTCGGATCCCGGGCGCGCACCGATGCACCGCTTGTCAAGCCACGCTGTGGTGGTGTCCCATACAAAGTGGAGGAAGATGGGCATGGATGTTAGCCCAGGGTCAGTCTTCCTCAGCAAAAAAGAGGAGGACTGGCAGATGTTAGCTCAGGGCCGATCTTCCTCAAATAAAAAAAAAATTCAACTCTAAATCAAGATAAAAAAAAATTCCCAGCGAACTAGGAATAGAAGGGAATTTCCTCAATTTGATGAAATCTTAGAGGAATAAAATTATGGCAACATAATTAATGGTGAAATATTAAATGTTTTCTACCTAAGATGTAAAAAGGCAAGGATGTCTATGCTCACCTCTTCTATTCAACATTTTTGAAGGTCTTAGTCATTAAGATAAAGAAAAATAAGAGAAAGAAAGGAAGAAAAAATAAAGGAGCATAAAGATTAAAAAGTAGTAAAGTTATTCTTATTCACAGATAACATTATTATGTACATGAAAAATCCAAAGGAATTTAACTAGAACTAGTAAGTGAATTTTGAAAGGTTATCATAAGATACAATATACCCTATACCCTCCAAATCACTTATATTTCTGAACCTTAGCAACCAATAATCGAAAAATGACATTTAAAAATACTGTTCATAATAGCATCAAAAACATAAAACACTTAGAAATAAAGCATGCAAGACACCCATACTTAAAACTACTAAACAGTGCTGAGATAAATTAAAGACAACCTAAATAAATGGAAAGATGTACAATGTTCATGGATTGGAAGTTTCCATATTGTTAAGATGTCAGGTCTTCTGAAATAGAGCTATAGATTCAGCACAAGACAAATAAAAATTCTAGCAAGCTGTTGATTTATAGATATGGCCAAGTTGATTCTAAATTTATATGGAAATGAAAAGACATAAGTTAGCCAAGACAATAATAAGTTTTATATTACCTGATTCCAAAGCATACTACAAAACTGTAATAATTAATATATCATAATATTGGCACCAAGATTGTCAAATATATCAATAGAATAGAATATAGAGTCCAAGAATAGAGCTGCACATATACGGTAATTGATTTGCAATAAAGGCAGCACATCAATTCTATGGGAAAAGAAAAGTCTGTTTCAATAAAGACACTGAAACACCTGGATAGCCATATTGAAAAGTAAACCTTGACCTCTACCTCACATCACACAAAAATTGAGATGAATTATAGATCGAAATATTAAAGATAAAACCACAAAGGCTCTAGAAAAAAACATGTGAGAAAATCTTCACAACCTTGGGTTAGGCAAGGATTTCTTAGGGTACAAAAGGCACCAATCATCAAAGAAAAAAATAAATTCGACTTAGTAAAAATTTAAAAAATTCTGCTTATCATGAAAGTGGAAAGGCAAGTCACACATATTTACCAAACTGGACATACCCTAAATGTCCATCAAAAGGAGAATGAATCAAAAATTTGTGGTTTATTCACCCCATAGAATATTCCATAGTAATGAAATGAACAAACCACAACTACATGTAACATCATGGGAATGACCCAAGTATAATGCTGAGTGAAAGAAACAGACACAAAGAAGTTCATATTATATAATTCCATTCATAGAAACTTCAAAAATAGGTAAAACTAAT